TTTAGGCATCCTCAGTGATACAAGATACAAGTTACTAAGAGTTACGAGAAGGTATAAGCTACTAAGCGACATAAGCGTCAGTGCGACATTACTCTTCGTATCCCGCGTATTTCGATTCGCGTCAAACTCCATTCTACTATATCTATAATTCCAAGTCGAGTAAAGGCGTATACTATTGTAACGTACAGAATAAGCAATTATAAGTATATTATTATTTAATAGAGTCAGTGTTTATTTACATTCACCCTTCCTTAAACTATTAACTAAGTACAATTCGATTCGCGCTAAAATCTTCATAATTAAAATCTTCATACTGCTCTTCGCAACATTCACGAAGGACGAGAAGGACAGGAAGGAAGCTTTCCACACTTTACTCCAAGCTGAGCGTACTGACGGTGATCTATATCAACGATATCGTTACCAATCAGCAACGAAAGGTAGGACATAATATAATACTATTTCCAAATCGACTACTGATCATTAGATTACCAAATTCATTCAAGCAACCAAGTGCTGCGTAGTTGAATTACACTGCGTACGCAGCAGTTGCCTGAAGGTCTAGATGTCTTATAATCAGAGAATTGCCTTTGAATACAGCTCTACGAATTAAAGTTGAATTACACCTTAATTCACGTGGCTACTTTCAATCGACATTCACAGTCATCATTACACTGTAAATTGTCGATAACCAGACGAGTGGTAGTTGTAACGTGGTGAGAACATCAAGTTGAGTTACACTTGGTGTGCGTTCGCACGTTTAAACTGCCTCATTATCCGTTAATCGACGCTATCCCTCTTGACTAGATTTCTGCCCTGAGAGTTGAATTACACTCCCGCGGGTTGAATCTTCCTCATTAGGGAAGCTTGCCACAATCGCCTTGCATGTCGACCACACGTGAAACTGTTATTAACGAGTTATCGTCGGAAGGCGCACATTCTCCGACTGAATCGCGAAACGTCCATTGCTGCATGACCACTTACTTCTACGTCAACGATAACGTTATATGCCAACGGTGTTTTGAGAATACTAATAGCTCGTCTCGAACCCAGATTGGCTGTAACACGCGTCATTCCTTGCAACTAGGAGCCGATCAGATTAATTACTATTGCCGGCTGTGCAATACAGCATTAGAAACCGTTCGATTTGACACTCTCTGTCCTGCATGCACAGAAGCGTTAAACCAATATATTAATTATTATAATTACGTAACATCGGGATGTTGTAAATCCATTATTATCGCGTTAAACGAGGTCAAACACCTGTAAATCCGAACTTACCTCCATGTGTCCGCCACATTCTTATTCAAATCGAGGATCCAACAATCGACATAATCAAATCCTACCTTATCAGCATTGGTTGGACAGTGTGTCGGGCTGCCGCGCAACCTTTTACCGGCATCGGGTAAATAACGTAGATATCTGTTCAGAGTGTTTTCGCGCCAAATCGGAACACGATCAAGTTCATTACGATATAGTCATTCGCCATTATTTAGTATACGGAGGTCTCGGCCATCTCACTGAGTGCGCTTCGTGTGGAATTATCACTGTAGACTTTCACCCTTTAGTATCCTGTGTAATATGTCTCCATGCGCATAGTGATTTCATAGAGTACTTGCGGTTGTCGAGCGACCGGCCTTACTATTCCTCGGAATCTACGATCGTATGCATTACACAGACACGCATTCAGATAACTAACGACGGAGTCACTGAAGATAACATTATCGACTCATCAGTGTAACTACCGCGGATACGTTACCGACTTATCACCAGAGCCGCCTGAGATAACGTACGTAGATTACCGGTTTACCAACATAACGTCTATGGATAATGGAACACTAGTTTAATCAACCGCTCTACCACTTCCTCTGTACCGGAATTTTCAATAATTCCTGGTGACAGTAGCTGCCAAAACGAATTTGATCACTCATATTCCCTCTCCACTCTAATTACGAGAATTGTGGAATATAGGACGTGACAATATCATTCACTAAACATGTCGATAGCACCAAAGATAAAAATACAAATCATTTTCAGAAAAATTGTGTAAAATTAAGATTTATTGATTCATTTAAATTTCTAAGTGCAAGCCTCGATAAATTGGCGTCGTATCTCGACAAAGATAAATTAAAAATTGTACATTCCGAATTTTCAACTTTGCCAGACGAAAAGCTTGAATTACTAACTCGTAAAGGTGTCTTTCCGTACGAGTACGTTGACTGCGTTGAAAAATTGCAGGACACGCGCTTACCACCGTGCGAATCATTTTACAGTTCATTGACGGGCGATACAATATCCGAGAGCGATTACGCTCACGCCGTGAACATATGGCAGCGATTCTCCATTCGAACGCTCGGCGAGTACAGTGATCTTGAAAACCGATGTCTTGTTATTAGCTGACATTTTCGAAAATTTCCGCGAAAGTTGCGTCGCGAGTTACGGTCTCGATCCCGCGCATTATTATACACTACCAGGTTTCACATGGGATGCCATGCTGAAACATACGAGCGTAAGATTTGAATTGCTCACCGACATTGATATGGTCATGTTCATCGAGCGCGGTATACGCGGTGGCCTCAGTCAATGTTCCGGCAGATATGCGCAGGCTAATAACAAGTACATGCGTTCGTACGACCCGTCGGAACCGTCGACGTACTTAATGTACTACGACGTTAACAACTTGTACGGTTGGGCGATGTGTCAACCATTGCCATACGCCGAATTTCGATGGGTCAAAGACGTTGCGAACTTTGACGTGAGCGCGATCGCTCTGGATTCGCCCATCGGTTATATTCTCGAGGTCGATCTCGAGTATCCACAACATCTCCATGACGTTCACGCGGACCTGCCTTTCTGCCCGTCGCGCGATAAGCCGCCTGGCAAGCGCGAGGATAAACTTCTAGCGACGCTGTACAGTAAACAGCGTTACGTCATTCACTATCGCAACCTACAGCAATATACTCGTCATGGTCTTCGTGTAACAAAGATCCATCGGGTGCTACAATTCGCGCAATCTCCATGGCTTCGCGAGTACATTCAACTCAATACAAATTTCAGAACTCGCGCGAAAAACGATTTCGAGAAAAATTTGTATAAATTAATGAACAACGCGGTTTTCGGCAAGACCATGGAGAATGTGCGCAATCACGTCGACGTAAAATTAATAACAAAATGGGACGGACGGTACGGCGCGGAGGCAATGATCGCGAAACCGAATTTTCACAGCCGCAGCGTCTTTGCGGAAAATTTAATCGCCGTCGAACTGCATAAACTCGAGGTGAAGTTCAACAAGCCGATTTACGTGGGTATGTATATACTCGATATATCGAAAGTCTGCTTGTATGAATTTCACCACGAGTATATGTTTCGCGACAAATGCAAAATCATGTACACCGACACGGACAGTCTCATTTACCGTATAGAATGCGAGAACATTTACGAGACTATGAAACGTGATATCGCTAGATTCGTCACGAGCGATTATCCGGCGGACAACGCGTACGGTATGTCTCTCGCGAATAAAAAAGTACCCGGTGTTATGAAGGACGAGAACAATGGTATGATAATGACCGAATTCGTTGGACTCAGAGCGAAGATGTACGCGGTGAGGGTAGATGGCAAAAAGGACACCAAAAAAGCAAAAGGTGTAAAGAGTAACGTAGTGGCGAACGATAACGTTCAACGATTACACGCGGTGCTTGAACGAAGAGATCGAAATGACTCGTCGTCAATCGAGTATACGATCTAAACTGCATGAGGTATACATGATATCCGAATCGGAAATCGCTCTGAGTCCATACGACGACAAAAGATACGTCGTACCGAACACGACGGTGACGTTACCGTGGGGACACTGACGGATACCTTTGTAATATATGCATTAACATTTATGTTACTATTAAGTACTACTATTATTGTATTGTAATTTACACTTTATGTATGTTTTTTACGTTTATATAAGTATTACTATTATGTTTTATGTAGTACCATTTATTATGTATTATTATTTTCGATTCGTGTTTCAACCATTTTCTTATATATTATCATAATTTGTACTTTGTATATGTTTTCCTACATTTTTTTATTTTTTATTTTCATACAGTGTACTATTATGTATTATTATAATATCGTTATGTATGTTTTTACATTTATATATAAGTCTTACTATTATATTTTATATAATATTCATTATGTATTACTATTATTTTTCATTTCACATGTATCGTAAATTTATAAGTACTTTATATAAGTCTTACTACTACGTTATATGTAATATCATTTATTATGTATTACTATTATTTTTCATTTCATGTATCGTATACATTTATAAGTATTTTATAAGTCTTACTATTATGTTTTATGTAATATCATTTATTATGTATTACTATTATTTTTCATTTCATATATCGTACATTTATAAGTATTTTATATCTCTATACTCCAAAACGAAGATGGAAGGGATAATAAAAAATATTTCACACGTTTATATCCTTATGTAGATATATATTTTTTATATGTAGAATAAAAAAAAAAATACATGAATCAAAATTGTATCAAATCACATTGTTTTTATGTATCCATGAATTGTGCGATCCATCGAATCTCAGCCACTTGACGTACACCTTGTCTCCCTTCCTGCGCAGTACTTTTTCCTTGCGAATGATGCTTGTGTTTGTGCGCGCTCGTCATCAACAGCATGCTCTTGTACTTGTGCATATCGTCTTCCGTTTAGAGGGCATGGTCGGGCATTCTCTTGAAAATCAACTCGTAAAGATCGGGGGTACCGGCGTATCGTACGCCGTCAATAATTATGTTGTCCGCG